CACCTCTTCCTGAGTAGTTGGTAGTACGTCATCACTTGAGCCTACGCTTTCCTCATTTTCTTCTTTATGTACACGAGTGTGTACAATGGTCTTCGGTTGGACTTTCAACACTTCACCGCATGAAACATGAATATATGTTTCTCGTCTCATCCGAGAAGGAATCATGCTTCTAAGCCTTTTGGGAGGTTCCACTTCAGCAGGAACATTGGCACTGTCTTTAATAACTTGGACAGCTCCAAGTCGATCATGCATTGACTTTCTCTTTAGGGCTTTAGGACTTGAACCCAGTCTATCTAAGACTGAGCGTCAAGAGTCTACCTTACCGATTCGGTCGAAGACTGACTTCTTTTTGTCTTGCCCATTATCATTGGCAGGAGTGATTTTTGGATCATACTCGCTTCCCTCCGCGGAGATACAATTACTTGCAGCCCTGTTTATAAGAATTTGCACTAGTTTAGGGGGAACATAGCCCAACCCTTTGCGCGTTTGAGGTTCTTGGTGATTTGCTTTGCCTTTACCGCCGGCTTCTGGGATAAGCTTTCCCAACTTCTGTGGCTCGTTGGGGTCATAGCCAGCCTTGGCTAGAAGCTTATAAGCATTAGGGTCGAAACCCTCGGTACGTTTGGCGGGGAATATTTGGCCCACTTTATCACCACATTTCTCTTCGGATGATTTTGCTGCATTTGTTTTGAGTGTATCAATCCTCGCAAGCGGGAAGATGAGTTTTGTGTTGTGTTGATCCCCCTCTACAACTTGTTTTACCTTTGACGTCGATTGAGAAGGTGGATCGTCATTGTTTCCCTCGATATCTTCAACAATAACTTGCCTTTTAATGTAGAACTTTGCATCTGCAAAGTAAGACTCAGCCTCTGTGAACGGGCTTTCATCGGCGACAACCTTTTCAACTACGCCGTTCCTTTCAAACATAAGGCATTGATGCCAAGACGAGGGTACCACCCCATTTTCATGTATCCATGGCCTTCCAAGTAACAAGTTATAAGATGTCCTCGCATCTATGACATGGCAGAGGACACCTGAACTTAAGCTTCCAATTCTTAAGTCAAGTCTGATGATGCCGATTGCTCTTTGCCCTCCCTGGTTGAAGCCTTGTATCATTAGACGACTTTGGGCAAGCTCATCTGTAGATATACCAAGGTCCTTCACAGCTCGGAGGGATAGGATGTTGACAGCTGAGCCTTGATCAACCATAATTCTTTTGAGTTTTTGCCCACGGGTGTAGCCTTCAACAAATAATGGGCGATTGTGTGGCGTGCCTCCAAGTAACAAGTCTTCATCCTTGAAGGTAATTTCTGTGGAGTAGGAAGTAGCCTTATGCATTAACACTTCCTCATCCTCGGTGTGTTTAGGAGATGAACATTCACCTCCATCTTCTGGCTTGTCATTTGTATTTAGGCAGGAGCTAGCACGGTCTACCCCTTGAAGATTAAATCCTTTTGGCATATATTGAGCCAAAGGAACTGGTGCTCGTGGTTGCTTGACATGCCCCTTCGTCTTTAGTCTGCGGGCATTGCCACTTGTTGAGGTTTTCTCAACCCAACTTCTCGCTGTGTGCTTAGGATGTCTCCCAGGCTCAACTTTCTTCTTTCTATGAGTGACTATCACCCATTTTCCTTCAGATGTGCTATCATTTTGCTGTGGTTTTGAACTTTGACCAGCAGCATACTTAATAATGAAGGGGAGTGGACGCTTCCGTTGTTTTCCATCTTCCTTTTCAGTACACAGCGGAGCGAACCGTCCGGGCGTAATCGAGATTTGATTTGAGCTCGCTTTGGCATCGGCAAGCTCAATTTTCCCATCCCTGGCCAGTGCCATGACTTTATCTTTGAAGATAAAACACTTCTCAATCGGATGACCAAGAAGTCGGTGGTACTTGCAATAGTGTGGATCATCCACCCTTGAAGCTTCCTCAGGACGTTTCATTTCTGGCAGCTCAATGAGTCTAAGTTTGAGTAGCTCATCAAACATGGGAGATACATCGGAATCCATGAAAGGATAAGTCTTCTCCTGCCTTTCTTCAATTGTTGGCCTTCTACCACCCCTTGACGGGCCAGAAAATGGTCTTGGCCTAGGCCTTTCAGTTGTCTTAGTGAAGACTGTCATAGGAGTAGCCTTCACATTCATCACTTCTTTCTTTTCCTGCTTTGGAAAAGGTTTGTTCCACTTTTTAACTTCTTGTTTTCCAGGTGCATTGGAGGGGCTAGGCAAGTTCAATATATTGAGCCCTCCGCTGGCTTCGATGCTCAATTCCATGTCGTGAGCACGACTGGATAACTCCTCAAAGGACTTTGGCTTAATCCCTTGTAGGATATAGGAGAGTTCAAAGTGCATTCCTTGGATGCACATCTCAATTGCAGAACTTTGGGATATTCTTTCTTTGCAATTCAGGCATAGTTCCCTCCACCTTTCGATGTAGGTACCGGCGCGTTCACCCTTCCATTGGTGAGTAGTGGTGAGTTCCAAGAAGCTGACCGTTCTCCTTGTGCTATAGAAACGAGTTAAGAACTCACGTTCCATATCATGCCAGCTATCAATGCAGCCGGGCGCGAGGTCAGTGTACCAATCAAACGCAGTTCCCTTTAACGAACGGACAAACTGCTTTACCAACAGATCGCCATAAGTCCCTGCATCATTGCATGTCTCCACAAAGTGGGCAATGTGCTGTCGGGGATTTCCTTTGCCATCGAATTGCTGGAACTTAGGAGGTTGATAGCCGTAGGGCATTTTCAATTCCTCAATTCTTTGTGTGTAGGGCTTAGTATAGGAATATGAAGGTTGTCCTTCATCCAACTTGCCTTTGATGGCCCCCATTATGTTGTCCTTCAACTGATCCACCGGTATCATGCCTTCGGTAACTGGAATAGTTTTCTCAGTTGCAGGTAAGTGGGAAGCAGCTTCTCCTACCACATGGCTAACATGAGGTGGTGGTGATTGCTGACCAACCTCTTCTTGCCCTTCAGGTTGCTTTCCTGGAGCACGGCTTCCTTGCTCCTCCATGATGCTTCCTACCCTATTATCGAGGGTGTTAAGCTGTTTCTCTTGATTTTGGAGAGTGACAGCCATTCCTTCCAGAGACTTAGCAATTCTAGCTAATTGTTCCTCCACAGACTCTGTGTTTGTCGCCATGGCAGGCATGACATTGTAGACATGCGACCACTCAGGTGCAGCCTTCCATAATGGATGAGGCGGAGTTACGGGGGAAGTGCTCCCGCTACTAGCGTTCCCTTGCATAGAAGTTGGACTACCACCATCGGTAGCTCCCTTGGGAGAGGGTGGACTTCCAGCAAAAGCAATAGCCTTTGAGGCAGCAGGGGCCTTGTCGAGCCTTCGAACCACCCGTCGTGCCATGGACTGAGGTTCAGGTACTCGGACCCCCAAATCCTTTGCGCGGTTCCTTGTCAGCGGACCTTGCGTTTTCTGGGTTGTGCCAGGGCTAGCTACAAGCGTAGACTTGGACTTGGTAGCTTGGGCATAGGTCCTCCTGAACATGGGATTGTTCGATGCCATTTGATGCGCAGGTAGAGGTATAGTAGTAGAGAGATGAGAGGCAGAGAGGTCCCACTGGGCGTGCCAAAATATGTAAACGCGAAAAACTTGAATTGTATATATTCAAAATTCAAAGTATCGGTTACAAGTAGTATGTATCAATCAAGAAGGGGTACAATCTCTGTATATGAGAAGTCCTCTGATTCTCTACTAGAAGTATGCCTATTAGATATGTGCCAAATTTGGAATATGCCAAATTGGAAGTGTGCCGAGTCCAGAGTATGCTGAACTTGAAGTATGCCGAGTTCGGGAGTATGGCCGAACTGGAAGTATGCCGAGTTCCTTGTTGGAAGTGTGCTGAGTTCAGAGTATGCTGAACTGGAAGTATGTCAAGTTCGAGAGTATGGCCGAACTGGAAGTATGCCGAGTTCGGGAGTATGCCGAACTGGAGTAGTTCCTTGCTGAAGGGCCTCCGGAGTTGGTAGCTTGTTCCTCAATGAAGGGCTAATATGCAGCTTGATCTTCAAAGAAGGGCTTCCGGTGTTCAAGTGGCGTGTTCCTCAGCGCGGTATACGCAGTACAACTGCGGGCGTGTTCTAGACGATATCCTGGCGAGACTTCGGCAGAGCTTCAGTATGCAGATTTCCAGAGCCCTTAATTCTTGAAAATGAAACCACTATTTATAGTGGTGAGGGTGAGGGAAAATCTCCAACCAACTCTTAATTCCTTATTTAATTTAATTATTTTAATTAAATTAAGGAACGTATCGGGACACCATTGCGTCCAGGTTCATGATTTCATCAAATTTCCAAATAATATCAAATATCCAAATTCCTCAAAATTATATAATCCACATATAATTTTAGTGGGCCAAGACCAAGTCAAACCCGCTATATGCAACCCAATTAATCCAAGCAGCCTGGTCCGATTTAATTAAATATTCCACCAACTTAGGCCAAACAATCCAACATTCAATTACATTTAATTAAGTAATTAAACCAATTAATTATTTAATGGGCCATTTAATTAACCCAATTAAATAAATATTAGTCCAATTAACTTAATTAAAGTAATTAATTTAAGAATTAAATATCCACCACGGTCCAACAATATTATTTAAATTTTCAATGCTTACAATATCTTTCTCAAATCCCAAAAGCAATTCCTTTCAACCGTAGGATTTTATCACAATCATCTTAGCCATTAATTGGTATTCATATACTTCCAACACACAATCCAAGATCTGACATGATATCTTTCCCAAATCCCAAAAGCAATTCCTTTCAACCGTAGGATTTTATCACAACCATCTTAGCCCTTAATTGGTATTCATATACTTCCAACACACAATCCAAGATCTGACATGATGTCTTTCCCAAATCCCAAAAGCAATTGCTTTCAACCATAGGATTATATCACAACCATCTTAGCCATTAATTGATTTTTGCTTTCACTCTATATAATAGTACACCACCAAATCAGAAACCACAACTCTTTGAATTCTCTATTCTATATTCCTCTCCATCCTCTTTTTAAAAATGTCCAAGGCACGCACAGTTCGAACTAGTTCATACTCTATTGAAGAAGATAAACTCCTTTGTCATGTGTATGTTAATATTTGCCAAGATAAAGCTACGGGTCATCATCAAGCTGGGGACGTATTTTGGACTCGTATTATGAATGCTTATCATGAAGCGCTACCAGCAAATGTTGGAAGCACTCGATCATTGAGGTCAATTACGTCCCGGATGCAAACTATAATGAAAGCTGTCGCCAAATTCAGAGGATGTATTGTACAGGTTGAGAACTTGAATCCGAGTGGAGCTTCAGAAAAAGACATTGTGAGTATTTTGTGTTTATATATAAATTGTGAATACTTTGAACGTTTGTGTTATTTACTTACTTTAATTGTGGTTTATAACATATTAATAGGGCAAGAGCACTAATGGAACAAGATGCCAAATTTAAAAATGGTTTTAAATTTGATCATGTATGGCCTATTGTTAAAGACTTGGAGAAATTTCAAAGTCCTTCGGGTAGAGAACCAAGTGTTGCAAGTCGAAAGCGAAGTTCTGACATTGAAGGTGCAGAGTCACAAGGCGATAAGTCAATAGGTTCATCATCGTTTTGCCTTAACTTAGACAATGATTTCGAAAGTCAGGGCTTGAACAATGAATGTCCTACCGGACGTAACAAGGAAAAAAAGTAAGAAGCAAGCATTTGCAGAATGTCATTGTTATTTTGCCAAAGTCACAGAACATAATGAAAAGATCGCACAAATGTTCGAACAAAGTCAAACTCAACTCCAACAAAATTATGAGCTTCAAATGATAAAAGCTCAAAATGAAGCAAAGCAACTACAGTTGGCGGAACAACAAGAAGATAACAGAATCATGAGCATAGATGTTGATTCCATCACAGATCCAATAAGGCGTGATTGGCTTAAAAATACAGAAAGCTCGTCAACCACTTGGAGGAGAAGAATCAAGCAGTCAGTTTACTCAATATTTTAATCATTTGGGAGGAAATGATGCTGGCCTAGGAGATTATTGAATTAAGTATGTTTAAAGTAGTTTTAATTAAGTTTTATGTGTTTGCTTTAAATTAAGTATGTTTAAAGTAATTTTAATTAAGTTTTATGTGTTTACTTTAAATTAAGTATGTAATTTGCTTTAATTTTGTTATAATTAAGCTTTATGTGTTTTCATTTTTAATTAATCTATGTTCAATATTAGACTTATTTTAATCGTCTTGATGAGATCTTTCAAATGATATAATTCATTTTAAATAATATAAAATTTATAGTTAACAATTTAACAAAATATACAAATATATTAAAACAAAAAAACAAAACACAAAAGGAATTAAACAAAAAAGAGGGGTCAAAATGAAGAAAAAAAATTATACAGATTTGGCGCACTGTGAACATTACTGCGCCAAATTTGGCGCAGCACTGTGAACAGTGCGCCAAATATTTGGTGAAATGGTACCCCTTTGGAGCTGATTTGCGCTATTTCTTTTTTGTGTTTTGGTGGAATAGAGGCCCGTTGGAGATGGTCTGAAGATGTGAAGAATGCAAAGATCTGTTTGGTTTGGGGGGTTTTCTTGCTGTGAACACAAATTTAGGAACTAAATTCCACTTCACCACACACTTTTGTTTTAATAAAATAAAATTACAAGCAATATGGATTGGCAACCTCTAGAGGTAACTTGTAAGAAAAATTCATTGAACAATTTTAAGGGGTAAGAGTGTCTAATTACAATATGTTTGAGATGGTGGGGTGAATTGAACACTTTGAGATAGTAGATGTGTATATTTGACTCTTCTACCTTTAATTTAATAAGAGTAAAATAGAGTACTAATTATGCCAACCTTGATGGGGATGACGTTTGTACTTAAGACCTTTTTTATTGAAATCAACGGTGAACTAACAGAAATTAACGGTAAAGATAATATTTAATGGAAAGTTAACGGATAATCATATTCATTAAGGATAAATTAGAAAATCTTAAGGAAAAATTAAAATCTGATCAATCTGAACCATTCATTTGATTAAAAAATCTTACCACCATTTTTTTACCCTTGGCCTAACTCTCTTGGGCTCTTATTAGTGTACTAGTTTTTCTACGCACTTTGCGCGAATGGGATAATGCCCAATGGTTCTTTTTAAATAAATATTTCAAAGTATATCAATGCAATATTATATAGAAGATGTTCATGCATAGGTAAACAAATATTGAATTTGTTTATTTAAATCAGTAATTTAAAGTATATAAATGCAAGATAATATATGAGAGATAGAGTATATATAACTGTCACAACAATAAATGGAATAAGGTTCAAATTGGCCACTAAACGTAACCTGAAAATGCAATTAGGTCATAAACGAAAAAAAAAAAAAAAAAAAAAAGTGCAATTAGGCCACTGAATACTCCAAATGTATGCAAATTCACCTTATAGCAGGTTACCATCAATTTTAGAAGATTACCTGCTTACGTGGCAGCTGAGTTGGCTTTTAATAATTTTTAATAATAAATTTAAAAAAAAAATTAAGAAAAATGACGGGTTGGCTACCCCGTCTGTTTTATTTTTATTTTTTATTTAAATTTTTTCAATTTTTTAAAAAATATTATAAAAATTTATTAAAATGCCTACTCAACTTCCACGTAAGTAGGTAACCTACTAAAATTGATGGTAACCTGCTATCCGGTGAAATTGCATACATTTGGAGTGTTCAGTGGCTTAATTGCACGTTTTTGGAGTGTTCAGTGGCCTAATTGCATTTTCATGTTACGTTCAATGACCAATTTTAACCTTATTCCAAAATAAATATTTACAACTTTGAAATAACGCTAGTCTAAATACTTAGTTTAAAAGTGATAGTCTAAATAAATACAACTTTTGGTTTAAATTTCTCTAATTCTCGTTTGGGTAGCATTGTCATTGTCTTCATCTTCAGTACATGTCTTCTTTTTTTAAATTTTTGTTATTGGTAGTATGTCATGTGCAATTAGGTTATTGTTGGTAGCACAGATGGATTCATCATATAATGAGATTATGGTGTAGGAAGCTTTAGATTTGCCTTGTTGTGTATATGACTGGGATTTTAGTTGTGTTATGAACTATTTATCTTACAAGCACATGTTGATATTTGATAGTGGTAGTAATTTCCGCTACATGTTTCATGTGTTATGAGATGTGTGTCATACGTTATCATGTCAAAGTATTGAACACAACATTAATATTTATTATATTTGTATAAAATACTTGGTTAATAAATAAATAAATAAATAAATATAAATAAATATATATATATATATATATATATATATATATATATATATATATATATATATATATATATATATATATATATATATATATATATATATAACATATTTTGTATTATAACTTTGATATTTAATTACAAGATAATGTAAAAAGAAGACAATACATAATGTAGTGAATATAATAAATTAATAAATTTGTAGGTAAGGAATCTTTGAATTGTATAAAATAAAGATAATATAATAATGAAATTATATCTCTATTTATTTTTTTTTTATAATGAATAATTCATTTTAAATAGAGGCATTATAGACATCTAATTCTAAATTAATTAAATGCATATGTATTATTTTTTTATTCTAAATGAATTAAATGTATAAGTATTATTTTTTTGTTGTAGCTACTAATTAATTTTTTTATTTAATAAGAGCAATAAAGTGGCATACATACTTTTCATCCACAATAATGAAATCATTGATTTTTTAATTTTCATTTGTTGTTGAGACAAATTGTTTTGAGAGTTTGTCAATGACAATTGCTATCAATAGAGGATGATAATAAATAATTTAAATTATCAAGTTACAATATATATTTTTATAATAATATAGTAAAAATTAACTTATAAATTTCAATTCTTTAGAAGTTTTCATGCACGGATAAAAGCATAATTGAAATATTAAGTTTTGTTGTCAATAATCAAAATATGATTAATTAAACTAAAAAAAAAAAAAAAAAAAAAACTTAACTTAAATTTATTTTTTTAAAATGAAAGAAAATCAAAAGATTTTCAAAGTTCCTGGTTTATAATCATTGAATGCTATGTATTTAGATGAACTAATTATTTGACCAAAGTTTATATTAAATTTTATATTATATTTTTTTTAATACTTTGTAACATATTCGTAGTATATGTTTAAAAATTATGCCAACTCTAATTGGAATGTGGTTCGACTCTAAGACATTTCTTATAGAAATTAATGAGTAAGTTAAAAATAATAAATTGTTAACGGAATATTCCGTTAAAGAAAATTTATACTAACGGAATTTAAGATTATTTAAGGGAAGAAAATAATATAATAAAGGGTAAATAAGGAAAATCATTAAGAAATACTAAAATCAAAATAATATGAACCATTCATTTTAAGAAATAAAATGACCGACATTTTTTTATTCCAGTTAAGGATCTAACATTATTGGCTCTTATTAAAATTGTAGATGTATATATATATATATATATATATATATATATATATATATATATATATATATATATATATATAGAACAAATTGCACTTTTGGTCCTGTGAGTATTAGGGTACTGGCAATTTGAGTACGTGACTTTCAAAACTCCCAATTTAAACCTTTAACTATGCATTTTTTGGCAGATTTGGTCCTCCGGACCAAATTGCCGGCCAATTTTGGCCGGAAAATGATTTAATGGTTCGAATTATTTTGTGATGAGGGTAAAAACGTCATTTCACTCCCTTCTTCTTCATTCTCCCTTTCTTCTTCGTTCTTCTTCTTCTTCTTCTTCATCCTTAACCTTTACAAGCAACCCACCCTTCATCCTAAGAGTCAAAGTTAGCTCAGAAACATGAAGTCCTTCGGTTATCACTCCGTTAAACGAATTCTGTGTTGATTTCTTCTTCTTTCTTATATTCTTCTTTGCTGTTGTTGTTGAAGATTGCAATCAGTTTCCAAGCTGAATTTTTCTGGAGACTCTGTGTTCATGTTTTGATGATCGCCTGATCGGGGAATAGGTCGGTATTTGTGTGAACCACTTCTTTTAAAACTGAAAATTTTCTCAAGAAATCCAACGAAGAAGCTAAAAGAAATGCTTTTTCCGTTGATCGAATGTTGCTTCGCATTTTCTCGAGCTAATTGTGTGATATCTGTTTTTAGCCCTTTTTTTCGTTGGAAAATGCGTGAAATTTCTGTACGAAATGGAGATTTGAATGTTTGTAGAGCACTACTCTGTAATTATCTGCAGAATCGTAATGAGTTTTGTGGCCATTAATTCGCAGTGAATGAAGATCTTTCTGAATTTCTCATTCTGTCAAATCCCTGGTTTGTAGATATTTGTATTTTACTCTTTTTTAAAATAATTATTTGAGCTCCTTTTCCATTTCTCAGAGGTTTTGTTAGGTGAAGAATCAGATTCTCTTTTCATAAAGGATTTCATGTTTCACTTTCCTTCGGTTATAACGGAGTGATAACCGAAGGACTTCATGTTTCTGAGCTAACTTTGACTCTTAGGATGAAGGGTGGGTTGCTTGTAAAGGTTAAGGATGAAGAAGAAGAAGAAGAAGAAGAAGAACGAAGAAGAAAGGGAGAATGAAGAAGAAGGGAGTGAAATGACGTTTTTACCCTCATCACAAAATAATTCGAACCATTAAATCATTTTTCGGCCAAAATTGGCCGGCAATTTGGTCCGGAGGACCAAATCTGCCAAAAAATGCATAGTTAAAGGTTTAAATTGGGAGTTTTGAAAGTCACGTACTCAAATTGCCAGTACCCTAATACTCACAGGACCAAAAGTGCAATTTGTTCATATATATATATATATATATATATATATATATATATATATATATATATATATATATATATATATATATATATATATATATATATATATATATATATATATATATATATATATCTCAGGGTACCGAGCCTTGCCGTTTTGGTCTAAAGGCGGCCAAAACTCGGCCGGCCGCCAACTCGTCCAACTCGGTCGAGTCGACCGATTTCGTCCGATTTTGACCTTTTTTTGGCCAATTTCGTCCGATTTTGATCGATTTTGACCGATGTCGTCTTTCATTAATTATTGATTTTAATATCATTATGACGTTATGACTTATAAATTATCATTATTTCATTTATTTAAATGTGTTATTTGATTGAATGTTGAAAACAAGGTCATTAAAATTGTCAAACGACAAGTCTATCACTATTTTTTAAAATTTTTTTGTTGCCCGCCTAGGGTGTAGGCGCTAGGCGCTAGTCAGGCGGCCCGACTAGCGCCTAGCGCCTACTGCAACCATGATATATATATATATATATATATATATATATATATATATATATATATATATATATATATATATATATATATATATATATATATATATATATATATATATATATATATGGATATTTTGACTTTGTAATTTGTGCTATGTTTGTAGTGTTTTTATGGTATTGTGTTTGTATATTTTCTTATGGATTTATTATTATAGGCATTATTTTAATTGAATTTATTATTATATGTATTATTTTAAAGTTTTAAAATTTTAACTTAAAAAACTTCGGTTAACTGAAAAAAATTCGGCTCAGTTAATTCAGTAATATAACGTTCAGTTCGTTTAACGGTTAAACCTTTAAAAATTTTGGTTAAAACGGTTCGATTATGCGAATGCACACCCTTAATGGAGAAAGGAAGACAAGGAAAATAAGAATAGATAAAATTGCCCATTGAAGCACCAACACTTCAAGACATATCCGATCAACCATGAAATTAAGGTAATCCTCAAATCAAAATGATAACTGCGGATACCTTAACCATAAAAGCAAAGCTATTTTAACTACATCCCTCCAACTTAAAAAAAAAAAAAATCTCATGAACTCAATTGCAACACTTTGGGCTCAATTATGCACAAACTGGAATTTATAGCATTAGTGTGAAAAAAAAAAAAAAACAATGAAGAAAAAAAAAGAACAAACAACAAATATGTCCCCCAGTCATACAGTGACACATGCATATACAGAGGAATGAGTGTGAATATACGAACGTACAACAACTAGAATAAAGAGAGGGGAAGTAAGAACCCGAATGTGGTGGAGGAGAGATAATATGAGTAGAGGAACAAAGTAAATTTTTGAGAAGAAATTAAATATAAGGTAGCAATTATTCTGTGGTGCCTTTACCCTACATGAAGTCTTTAAATAACTACATACTTCCTAAGTAATATTCCAAAAGTAAATGGAGATAAATCATGAAATTCTTAATTATATATGTAATCATAGAGATAAATTAGTTTGAGTGTGCTCTGAGGCCATGAGTTTATCATTTTTTCATACTCTTTTTTCTTCATGAAATTTCATGTTGCGAAGTAGCACAAAGTTGAGGATAAAATTACCTCATAAGAAAATTAAAGGTCAAAACTTTCTCCAATGAAATTATAAGTTAAGATTCAAGCCTGTCAATTCTAATTTCCTAGCCTAAGGAACTCACTACCTCAAATCTTTTTATATTTGTTCTAATTCTTATACAAACATCAATTTAACTCCAACAAAATTACCCTAAATTAACAAAATTAATCAATAAATTCACCTTTGATGAATAAAATTAGAAGAAAGCATGCAACAATCACTCCACTTCAACATTGAGACGCGATCAACAATCAAACTCATTCAATCCCTTTAATGACTTCAATCCTTCAACCGAATCTCTGCTTTGAATATCTTATTTTTCCTTTTGATTGCTTAAATCCTTCAACGGAATCTCTACTTACTGTTATCTTGTTTTAATAACAGTATCTCTTAGGGAGATCAAATAAGTGAAGGAGAAACTTATCTCGTTGATTATGATAGTAGATTAAGACTTAGATTCTTTCGCGATGAAGGAGGAAATGTGGTTGCATATAATACCAATTTTGGTCCCATGAGTATTAGCAAAATTATGATTTTGGTCAACATGTTTAATTCCTACCAATTTTCATCCACGATTATTGTTTTAGTACCAATTTTCATCCACAACTATTATTTTAGTACCAAAATTCATCACAACGGTCACCCTCCGTTTAAGACTTGCAGAAATCTAAAAATTTTAAAGATATTTTCATCCTTTTCAACTTAAGATTCCAATTTGAGCATGAATAAAGGGAGTTAAGCCCTAAGATCAATCCCAAATCGCAGTTCTATTCCTCATCCTACCTTAATTTGAGGAGAAGAATTGCGAATTGGGATAGATCTTAGGGCTTAAATCTTTTTATTTATGCTCAAATTGGATCATAATTTGATAATGACAAAAATACCCTTAATAGTTTCATATTTCGACATGTCTTAAACGAATGGGTGACCAACGCGATGAATTTAGCACTAAAACAATAGTCGTGGATGAAAATTGGTAGGAATTAAACATGTGGATCAAAATTGTCATTTTGCTAATATTTGTGGGTCCAAAATTGGTATTTGCTCATTATTTAACAGTAACGGAATATATGCTTGGGCATTTTTGTCTAAAAAAAATGATGTACAATATTGAGAACACAATGTACAAATAGATCAGCACTAACAACACGGACATAAATCCAAAGACATAACTTGTATTAAGATTTACTAGTTCTTTTACGCGCTTTGCGCGAATGGAATAATGCCTAATGATTATTTTTAAATAAGTATTTCAAAGTATATCAATGCAATATAATATCGGAGATGTTCATGCATAGGTAAATAAATATTGAATTTGTTTATTTAAATCGGTAATTTAAAGTATATAAATGCAAGATAATATATAAGAGATTGATTATATTGTCACTAAAATAAATATTTGCAACTTTGTAATAATGCTAGTCTAAATACTTAGTATAAAAACGATAGTCTAAATAAATACTACTTTTTGTTTAAATTTCTCTAATTCTTTTTTGGGTAGCATTGTCATTGCCTTCATCTTCAGTACATGTCCTTTTTTTTTCTATTGATATTTGATAGTGGTAGTTTTTCTCTCTTCTTTATCTTACAAGCATCTATTGATATTTGATAGTGGGTATTTGATAGTGGTAGTTTTTCTCTCTTCTTTATCTTACAAGCATCTATTGATATTTGATAGTGGTAGTTTCCACTGAGGCTCAAACTCATAATCTTCCAAATGGAAGTCCAACCCGGGTACCATTAGACCACATAGTCCTGGTGTAACTTTGATATTTAATTACAAGAAAATGTAAAAAGAAGACAATGGACAACATAGTGAATATAATAAATTAATAAATTTGAAGGTAATGAATCTTTGAATTGTAGAAAATAAAGATAGTATAACTAATGAAATTATATCTATTTTTAAATTTTTTTATATTGAATAATTTTTTTAAAATAAATGCAGTATAAACATGTAATTCTAAATTAATTAGATGCATATGTATTATTTTTTGTTGTAGCTACTAATTTATTTAATTTAATAAAAGTAATAAAGTGGCGTACATATTTTTCATCAACAATAATGAAATTATTGATTTTTTTTTTTAATTTACATTCGTTGTTGAGACAAATTATTTTGAGAGTTTGTCAATGACAATTGCTACAATTCCTGTCAATAGAGGATGATAATAAATAATTCAAAATATATAGTTACAATATATATTGTTATAATGATATAGTAAAATTAACTTACAAATTTCTTTAGAAGTTTTCATGCATTGATAAAATTCTGTTGTGTAAACTTGTTCAATTGGAGCCAGTGGAATGTCAATATTGTCAATTCTTTGGAAAATAGTCCTACTGTTTTAGAGTTCATGTGGAATTTTATTTATGATCAACAACTTTGTAGTTAGGTCGCGTAGGTCTAACAATGATGTAAGAACAATTTTGTCCGATAAAAAAAATAATAGTATAATATTTGTAAAGTAATGTACAATTGTACCATTATAAAAATATATACAAAAAATATTAATTAATACCATAACGACCTAAATCATACCAATAATACAAAGTATAATTGCAATATTAAATTTTGTTCTGATCTAAATAATCAAAGGAAGATTAAATAAACAAAAAAAAATTAACCTAATTTTTTTAATGCATAAAAATCAAATGATTTTTAAAGTTCTTGATTTATAATCTTTGATGCTTAACTTTGAATGTTATGTATTTAGTCGGACAAATTATTTGACAAAAGTTTATGTAACACGATTTAGTCGGTTGCACCCCCGATTTTTACCACATTTTTAAAACTTAAATGCACAGGAAAATATCTAATCATCAAGACATAGAGCAACGGAAGCTATATAAAATTGGGACATGTTATGCCACACCTAAGACATAGGTGCACAGGCGGGAAAATCTATCAATTCAACCAAATCATAAAGTGTCAAGGCACACAGGCCGCTAACTAGGCTCACAGACCAACAAAAGATAACATCTACACAGGACAGCTAAACTATCTAGCGATCCTCATCTAGTGCTCTCAGACATCTACTCAAAATCTGTAGAACAAGGGAACAAATATGGGGATAACACCCGCAGCGAATATTGCTGGTAACTCATCAATACGCGTTAAATAACATATATAGATAAGTATAATCAAAACCATTTTGAAACAAATATAGTATATATCATTTCAAAACCAAGGAGAGAAGTCAACTGCAAAGACTCATCAAATCACTCTCAAAAGAAATAAGAATCACCATCCCCTCAACAACAACAAGACAACAAACATGAAAGACAATACAACTCGAGTGGCATTCTACTGATCACAAAGTAGAATACATCAAGACATGTTCATGCAAAGAAAACACATTCACATGGTGACAACTACATGTCACAAGTATCATAGTTCCAACCTTATGCCTTGTTCCAATCTTATGGCTACCCCCGACCTTATTTCAGTTCCAACCTTTACCTCCTAGTGCCACCCTGTACTTCTGAGTCCAACCTTGTACCGCCAGGGACCGTCGTCCCCCCTCCAACAACCTCCAACATCCCGCCGAACTCTCAGTACACGAGGGTACCATTAATTTCATTCACATAACCTCCAACATATGAGCCAAGCTCAGATAACACACCACCAATTTCAATCATAGTCACACAAGATCATCATCAATACCAAGAGGACTAAGGCTCAACAATAACCTTAATCAAGTATCAATCAAAGGGTACAACGATTTACATACGTTCACATCATAGGAATCAATCAAAGATCACAACAAAGACATGAGACCATACTCAACAACAAAGGATCACAATCCAACACCAAATGATTGTCAACACAAGTTGCCAATCCCAATAGGAAGGAACAAACAACACATACTAGCATTTCAACATCAAACTAGCATGCTTAACAAACGGGTAAACCAAAAGTAGTTCCAAAGAACATTCAAGACTCACATTAGTCCAACGAATCACAATGTCGGATCCTTAGCACGATTCAAGACACCAAATCCTACATGAATTCCTAACACACTGTTCTAGACACACGAAACATCAAGAAGACTCACAAATAGCCCAATAAAACAACATCGGGAGATCAAAACATCAATACCGAGTCAAAAGAATCACGGGGAACAAATCCCGGCCAACCACCACTGTGTACCCCGCGGGTGGGGCCACAGGTGGACAACCACCCGCGGGTACCGACCCACGAGGAACTCGTTCCCCGCGGGTGGGGCGACGGGTAGGGCCCTGCCCGCCTTTCCGCCCACGGGTACCACCTGTACACAAAAAATATCCCTTCGGGAATTTTCAACAACAAGGCCAAATTCAAGTCCAAAACACCCAAAATCTCACACATAACAACAATATGACTTGAACCCAAGAAATAGCCAAACAATGACATTCAAGAACCCTAAGAACAAGCTCTAAACATGCATCACCACAAGACAATGCATCAAATCTCACAAATAAACACAAGAATCACAAGTAGAAGCAAAGGAATCATCATATAAGTAAGAAGATAGGTTTTGTAAAGCATGGGTTACCTTTGTAGCCTAATAACTTCCTCTTTTCACCCTTAAAAAGCCTTTCCTAGAGCTCCTCTTCCACACCAACTTCATACACAAACCAAAAGACAACAAAGATCCTATCTTTAGAAAAAGACACCTAAAAGAAGGTTAAAAACATTAAAGGACCAATGATCTTACCCTCCCCTATGCTCAAGATGAAGAAAGTAGGAATCTTGGGAGAATATCTTGCAAGACTTGGATGCTCAAATTCTAGCTTGGAGAAGAAGTTAAACCATTTTAGAGAGAGGCTAGAGGTTTTTGTGTTTTAGATTGAAGGGTGAATGAAATGAAAGAACATTGCTAGGTTAGCTTGAATCACAACCCTTAGGTAGAAAGACATTCCTACCTTACTAATGTTGGAAAGACAATGGAACAATGGCACAACTCAAGAAGCACAAGGTACAACCCTTTGACTTAGGTGACTAGTCAAAATCTAGTCTCTCGACTATTAAATTTCAGGATTTTTAGGAATAGATTAACAAAGAGACTTGGATTAATTCTTCAATTAATCCTTGATTGGTGTTTGGATTTACGGGGTGTTACAGTTTATGTTAAACTTTATATTTTATATATATATATATATATATATATATATATATATATATATATATATATATATATGTATATATATATATATATATATATATATATATATATATATATATATATATATATATATATATATATATATATTTAATACATTTTAACACATTTGTAGTATATGTTTAACAATTATGCCAACTCTAATCGGGATGAGG